TGCCTTAGCTTAATTTAAATAATTACCTTTCATATTCCAAATTTAGTGTGTACTCAAAGGATATCTTCTGCGAACTTTCCAGAAGGTAGCTTCCATTTGTTCTCTGGACGTATGTTATGGTATCTTTCTGAGTACTCCGCCTTCATCCTATTTATTTCTTCGGTAATTAACCTGCTTCCCTGCTTGTCTCGTTCAGCTTCCACATTAGCTTCATCATCATTATAATCAGGGGTCTCTTCATAGTCACCATCTATACGCCCACCATCGCCATCCACGTACTCATCAAACGTAAGATTCTTGGGATCTCGTTTATCTGTATCAATCCCGTCAGTGTCTGTCTCATCACTGTCTGTTTCTTCGTCATTTTCCCATCTTGTAGTTAGGGAACTCGAAGAGAACATTTGATATTCGGGCGTTTGTGGTGGAAGAGGTGTGACGGCACGTGGAGAAGGAATTTCAACATTTTCATCATCTATTTTTCTCCGCTTTGTTTCTTTATAACTGTTCTAGAAGATAAAATTGTAGTTCATAAGAAACAGATGACAACTCAGTCTTCGCAACTTATAATTATAGTTAAAAATAAAAATTGCATATCCGTACCTTTTCACCATCTTTACTTCTTTTTGACTTGCTATCAACATCGAAAGATTTACTTCTGGAAGAACCAGATGCTAGCTTTATGTTTTTTTGATTTCTCTGATATCTGGTCTTCGGCTCGCCCAATTTCTTCTCGTATAGTAATACTTTTGATAGTGCGCTAGACGGTTAAAAAAAAATCGTAAACATCATATAATGTTACGTTTAGTAAGATCAAAAATGATACATACTCTATGTACCCGATCCGAAATAGCTATCGATTCTAATTCTTTGAGATGCCTTTTCCATAACAAAAGATTTGCGGAATCGTTATCAGAGTTCTTGGCGAAAATATGAAAGAAAGTTAGAACGAAGTGTTTCATCGTAGATTGATTAATTGATTGCCTGTTAGCCGCACATGTTATAATGGGGCCCACGGCCCAGACTATAACATGCTTCCCACTTCAAGCAACAACACGAGTTGCCTTGTGCGAAAAAATTCGCTCAGAACACGACTGCAGGGTCACTAGCTAATAATATCAGCGGAGCTACCAACGCATATTATAATGGGACCTACAAGTCCAGACCATAATATACTTCCCACTTCAGGCAACAACACGAGTTGCCTTGTGTGAAAAATCACTCAGAACACG